AAGTGCTCAATCCGTTGGTGGACGAGGAATCCGACGCCGCCAACGTTTCTTCCATCCACTTTGGCTCCTAGAACAAGTAGGTGGCCGTCGTTGGTTTTCCTTGTGGCTGTTTCCTTGGTTTTTGTTTCCTGGAGGGCGATGACGTCAAAGCGAAGCTTCTTGCTGGCCTCCATCAAGATGGTTTGGTCGGCCGCTGAGGCGATGGTACGACAGTTGTAGGTGCAAATTCGTAGACAGTCCCCATGCCTCGTCGGCTTTTCTTCCTGTGCACTCCAAATCCTGCGGCGGTTTTTGTCTGCAGGTCCCTTCAGGTCGCCGTTTGCTCCAGTGCACTTAGAGCTCGTGCTTCCATCTGCGCCGCTCCGGACCCTCTTTGTGCGTGTTGTAGCTAATTTACCGACCCTCGGGTAGCTAGCCCATTGAGGCGGTGTTACCTCCACTATTAGCCGGGGTTTCTCCCGTTTCGCCCCCTCGCCGCTTCGAGGCTAGTGGTAGGATTTGGGGGGGGTCAAGGACACGACATGAAGACGGCAGGGAAGTGATGGCCTAGGACTGCAGTTTCCCCTACGCATCGACAAGCGCATCTATCAGCATTATTAACTGTTACGCGCCAACGTCAGCAGCAACGGATGGAGAAAAAGACACGTTTTATAAGGAGCTGGAGGAGGCTACGAAGAAGGAGCGTTCGTACTACAAGTACGTTGTTGGAGACTTCAACGCAGTCATCCACGAGGAAAAGCCGGCGACAGCGCGCATTGGACCACACGGAGTCGGAGATACGAACGAAAACGGAGACCGTTTGATGGACTTCCTAGAGCAATGCAACCTCTTCCACGGAAACAGCCTCTTCATGAAAAACGTGGGCCGAAGGTGGACATGGGAGAGCCCTAACGCAGCAGCTCACAGCGAAATCGACCATATTCTCACGAACAGAAAGTGGAGTTTGCTAGACGTCAGTGTGGTAGATGCATTCCGCACCGGAAGACATAGACTCGTCCCGGTTCGCCTCGAGCAAATCGAAGACGAGACCAATTCGACTCTCATACGACTGCCGGCAGACGGACATTAACAGAGGCGGCCCTGCTAACTACACATGGCAGGAGGCACAGGACTTGTCAAAGGACCACGACTTGCTTGTAGAAGGACTTGTACAGTGCGCAACGGCATCGGTTGTAACGGGAAGAATGAACTCGAAGAGTAGGATCGATGACAATGCTGCCGTCCACCGTAACTCTGCATCCACACCACTGGAACGTGCTACGATTAACAAAGCGTGCCGATACGCTGTGAAGGAGTCGATTAAGCGATACAAAGGACACTCGACTGAAGGAAGCGGCAGAAGTGAGAGCGAGCCTCAAGCGATCGGGACATAAGTGACTCTCGCTCGATCATAACTGTCATGAGACGCGATGGGGAGACCGCAGACATCGAGAACGAAGATTGAGGAGATTGCCGTCAGCTTCTATACGGACCTTTTCCGATCGACGACACCGGTTTCGTATCCCTACACCAACACAAGAGGTGGCTCCGCGGATAGAAAGAGTGGGAGATAGAGCACGCCTTACGTCAGATGAAGCCGAGAAAAGCACCGGACCGGACCGCATCTCAGTGGACTTTCTGAAGTCGGCGTCCTACACTGTCATCAAGCAGCTCACCAAGCGCTATAATAAGTACCTGGACGAGCAGAAGATCCCGGACCAGTGGAAGACGTCAAATACGGTGCTTTTGTTCAAGAAAGGCGAGCGCGATCAAATGAAGAACTATCGTCCCATTGCGCTCCTCTCACAGTTGTACAAGCTGTTCACGAAGATTATTCTAACGAATCCATGGCGGGGGAGTGAGAAGTAAGAAAAAATTGCAGGAAAGGAATAGGAAGACAGCTAACCGGCGTTTATGCGGGTGGTGGATGGTGAATTCACTGGCGTGCGCTCATTTTGCAACTAGTGGATGTCTAAGGCAAATGCGACACATGGCGGCTTTCTTAAATACAAAGCATCGGAACGTCGAAGGGCCGAAGATCTGCGGGTTTCTCTGTGGAGTCTCAATCGGATCCAACGGTCACTTTCACAGTAGTCACTTACACCTGTTGTCGGCCAGTACAGGCTGGATATTACGTTAAGCTACCAGTACGCAATTATAAGCGAGATAATTATGTGGTTCTATGTCTGTAGTCGTGGCGTGGCTCCTTTCTTCCAGTTTTTGAATTTGTTGAAGAGGCAGGCTGGTGAAAGAACGGAGCATTTTCCTGAACAAAAGAAATATTTGGAAGTGAAATATCCGGAAAAAATAGTGAGGTGAAAACGCTGATAACGAAACGACCGTCCCAAAGATGCTGTTTCTGGCGAAGGAGAGGAAAGGTAAGCGACTTTTTGTATAATGAACCAAGGAATTAGGCCCGACGCAGTTTAGGACAAGTAAGCGCGCGGTCGCACGCGCGTCGACACATTCACGGCGGCTTTGGGTGTTCAAAAAGTTGACTTGTAGTGTATCGGCTGGACCTCGACCTTCGCGACCTACGCGTCAAATATGTCCGAGAACAAATTCTTAGCAAAATTCATACCGTAACACAGATTTCGATAAGAATCAAGTTCAGTCTTTCAGGTAAAAGGTAAATATCGCCTTGAGTTGGAAGCAGAGTGCGTAAGGCATCGTAAAAGGGATTGATGAACGCCAAAAGCCTTGTCCTCTACCCTTCAAAGCAGAATCAACCCTTCGTTCGCAGTATTCGAACAAGGAGGTCGCATTTGTGATTTTGGGAAGGGCAAGGTCGAACTTTTTCCGACGATTTTGGCGACAGTTTCCTCGACATTCGGAAAAAATGGGCGGAGTTGGGTGTGTCGGCTGGTATCAGAATCAAATCACAAATACTACAGAAACAGTCACGATGGTGAGGGTGATGATCGGGGTAGGAAAGAGGGAAGTTGTAGTGGGGGAGGCTCCCAAAACAGGTGGTGGTGGGAGAGGAGGGGTGCATTGACACACTTCTAAAGCAGAGGGGTTGCAATATTCTCGGAAAAGTGCGAACGCGACTTTTGACCCAGGTTTGGGGCAACCCCTTAATATTGACGTGTCGAGACTCCAAAGTGGGTGAGTCGCAAAACTTTCGGTAAATGTGAACGAGACGATCGACCGTGCTTCAAAGTGATTTCCAAACAGTACCTGTGTTGATATCCT